TTCTTTCTGTTTCCTGGATCTAGTGAGGATCAATTTACAACCTTGAGATACCGCCATTCGCAAAACATATTTTACGTTTTGGTGGCACCTGAAGTTCTTGGGGATATTAAGACAGAAGCACCGAGACTGGAGAGGAAAAGACGACTAAATAGCAATCTTATACATGTTTCTTTTTAAGGCATGTTTGCGGACAGCTATGTTTGGGTCCAGGCGAATTGATCAGTGGGGTGTTTTATATTTTGACACGGCAATGGCTAGCTGACCTTCCTGCATTTTGCTTTATGTTGTCTTTGTTGGTGGTTGTTCTGTTTTTATGTTTATAGTTTTGGAGAATGAAACATTTACTTGTAGCAGTCATTTGTGAATGTGACACTGTGGGAGCCGGAATGTATATATAATTAACTTAAAAGAGCTTAGGAAGTCTAAGGTTCTAGCGGTGGACTGCACAACGGAATTATTTTGAATTAGCATGCTAGTTAGACAGATTGGCACAGAATGCTGTAACGTCGTTAGCTCTTTTACTCCGATACTGTACCTTCCCTTACCTCAGATCCGCTCTAAAAGAGCGGAGCACTGTCGGGATTCTGTGCTGTAACTGAAGAATGCAGATGCCGCATGAGATATTCTAGGTGCCTTATTGTGAATTACAGTAATCATATGTGTTTATCACAAGCACAGTTTTCACGGTATTTACGCATCCTGCCAGATCGCCTTTTCTTGTGGCTTTTCTTAGTTTCTGCAATTTCGCAAAGGAATTTGCTGCTTCGCGGACTGCTTGCATTGTCACTTTTAAGGGTTCCCGTTAAGTTTATGGTAATTGTGAGGTGCGCGACTTTTCCAACACCAGATTTTACTTGGCCTTTTTTTTGTTGTTAGATTTGCTTTAGAGGTCAGATCTCAAAGTGGTGTTTATATCGGTGCTGCGGTATCGCAATATGCTACCTGTTTTAAACTATATAGCCATGCAACTACCTCACGGTGATTTGTGGAAAGTGTGCTTGGACTACCTCACTCGACCCTGTGCTGTGATCCTCGGTGCTGTTACTGCCTTCATTTATTCCGTCTGGGGATGTGAGGGCCAGGTTAGTCTCCTCAAAGAGAACCACGGCAATCACTAGGCTCAGTTATGGCCAAAACTACAACAGCTGTGGTGCTCAGCTCTGATTGCACAACCACAGTGACAATGTATGTCAAATAGAGAAATTACTCAGTTTTTCATGGTTCAATAACAGTTTATTACTAATCACACAGCTACAGTACACATACAGTGTGCACTGGGGACTGTTGTTCTGAGATCTTTAAATTGGTTCATTTTTTATTGTTTCTTTTAACAATTTTAAAAATATATATTTTGAACGTCTTTTATTACCACCAAACTACTTTTTAAAATTGCTCTTCAGTTCAGATAGCTACAGCAACAAATAAAAAAGTACCAGCAAGAAATCAGTAAGAAATAACACTACTTGGCAAAACTTGTAAGATTCTTAGTTTAAATCCTCATGTTTACAAACTTACTTTCTTTTCTTTTATTTGTGCAACCGCCCCCTTCCTACCAGCATATGTACAAGTGAGGGGTATAAACATCAGCGGTGCCCAATTTAGCTGCTGTAATTTTCCCTCAGTCACTACCTTTGCAGCTGTAGTAAGACTTTTAAAGACTTGTAAAGACACACTGAGTGGTAACTCTCTCTGCTGTTATCCAGACACCGATCCTGGTGTGTGGCGATGGCTTCCGTGCCTTCCTGGAGCGACACTGCCCTGTGGTGGCTGAGCGATTCATACCCACACCCTGGTGCTGGGGAGGCCGTCTTCAGACCGTGACCCGTGTCTTCATCAAATCCAGCCCTCCCATCAGCTACAGGAAGTGAGAACCCCATCTCTTATCTTTTATCTGTTTTTACGGTATATTGTACATTGTATGATGGATGGCATGGCAGCGCAGTGGTCTGCATTGCTGCCTTGTAGCTTCGGGGCCCTGTGCTCAGTTCTGGGCCTGGGGTTCTATCTGTGTGGAGTTTGTGTGTTCTCCCAGAGTTCACTTGGGCTTCCTTGGGGTGGTCCGCTCTCCTTCCACAGTTCAAAGAGGGAAAACTGTCCACTGCGATGGGCGGTGGGCTGGAGTCCAGGGTGCCTTGAGCCTTGATCCAGTTGTTTGCCAGAACAAAGTTCGTGAAATGTTCCTGTTATTGACTTCAATTTGATTATTTAATTTATTGTTATTTTCTGTTACATATAGAGATCTAGTTTTTCTGTGACCCTTTTTTTGTTCTGAAAATGGAATAAACAGATGCTTCAGCTGTCAATATACACTGAGGACACTTGGGTATAGCTGCTTAATACAGATGTTCTTTTTAAATGCAAGTACTTATAATTGATGTCATGTGTATGAGAATTTCAGAAAATTGTGGGGGCTCTTGTGAAAGATCTGTCATCGTAATAGAAATGTGAGCTTAATTAAAGGGTCATTTTTTAATTGATCAAATTGTAGAGGTTGACAAAAATTAATAACGTATGTTGTTAATGTGTAGTTGGGCTAGGAGCTTGTGGGCTTTTGTGATATGATTTCTTTATTCATTAACCCGAAACTAACTTCCATAAGAGAGGAGCCACGTGTATTGTGGGTGAAAAGCCACATTCAGCTGCTTTTTTTCTTTGCAAAGTCCACTGATGACTTCGCTCATAGTTTTTTGCTTGCAGAGTGTGTCTTTCTGAGTAATGTCAGTGTTTACTGTTTGAAATTTAAATTACATGAACAGGGTGATATACATTGCACAATATTTATATGTAGCCTCTTACACATTTGTGGGCAGCATAATGCCACAGTATTTAGCACTGGGGCTCCGGGTGCTATCTGCATTGAGTTTTATATGTTCTCCCCGTGTACTTCCTCCGTGTGTATCACTCACTGACTTGAGTGATATTACTTTTCTTTTTGTCCATCTTGTGTGATTTATGTAACATCATGCAGTTCAGTTAGTACTGCCACTGTAGTACACATTTTCTAACAACAGTTAGAAGAGAGGGGAAGCAATTTGGCCTGTCTTACATGTTTGGTAGTGAAGAGTTAATTAATGCAAAATTCTCATTCAGCTATTTCCTGAAAACAGCCAGGGTATCGGCTTTGATGGTGTAGCTTGTTCCATACTTCCACAACCTTTTCAGATGGCTTCCACGTATCATGTTACATTGTTCTTCCTGAAGTTGATATACCTTCGAGTATTTTCTGATGCTTGTATGAGGTCTCCTTCTAGATGTCACTGTGTAAGAAAATATAGATTCAATTCCTTCAGCCAGTCAGTGGCTGCAACAGCGCTATCTTTTCTAAAACATGGTGATTAACAATGTATGCCATATTCTAAAAGAACTATTTTATTGCCTTACTACAATTAATACAATCAGTAGGATTCAATGGGAACCCGGGGATTTATTAATCTTGAGTGCTTCTAATACCCAAGACATTAATACTGTTTAATACAGAATGTTGACCTTATGCTGCCTATACAGGCATTTCCCTTTCATTGTCTAGATTGACAATTGTCTAAACTAATTTCCCATTAGTTTTCCAAATATATAGTATTTGACTTCATTCTTAATGTTCCCTTTGCTTTTGTGTTACCGAGGAAATTTAAATTATTTATTTTAACCACCATTACAATGTTCCCTTAAATTTCTCCTTTGGTCTTTCCAATATCCTGTTTCTTTACCTGTTTTTGCAGTTCATTGTTTCTTTTCTTTAACTGTATCTTGTTGTTTTTCAATCCTTTTTTGTTTGTGAGGGAAGATCGACTTAGATTTCATCTACAAGTAATGACGGTTGTTATTTCACAAGTATATGTATATTCTAGAGCAGTGGTTCTCAAACTGTGGTACGCGTACCGGCAGTGGTACGTGG